CTCTCTCTCTCTCTCTCTCTCTCTCTCTCTCTCTCTCTCTCTCTCTCTCTCTTATTCTCCCCTTTTTTTAATAAAACGAACGGTACATTCTAATCCCGGTATCAAAATTAGTAAAAATTTGAGGAAAAAAAAGATATACAGCGTATATACAGTATAGCTGAAATCGAAAGAAAAAAGAAGGAAGGTAAAAAAAAAAAAAAAAAAAAATAGTAAGGTTAAAGAAGAAAATGCAATAACATCTGGTTATCCTGTATTGTTATCGATCTGTAGGAAACTATGCTACTGAAAGCAGCGTTGCAAATACGGATTGCTTCCGGCTACGCCTTGTTTTGCACTCGCAAATAAATCATGTATATTAATTACATTCGAAGTCTGATTAATTGTCCTATTTAATGAATTATTTGGATAACACGTTGGGGAATATGCGCGTAGATATAAATGCGCCCTTTAATGAATTTAATATTAACAGTGAAACGATTAAGCATATTAAAAATATACTCGAATATTCGGAAAAACTTTATTCGTTTCATCCTCTCCCTCGTTTCGAGAAGAAGAAAACAAACAATTGATATTTCGATTTATTTTTAAAACTATATAATTTCAGATACGATTCACGATTATTTATATTCAATAAATTATACTCCATTATCGCTTTATTTTCAAAAAAATTCCCAAGGGAATTGCTAAATTTCGAATGATTTTCCATCGTTTCGCATAATTTAACAACCACTCGTGACATATTTATCCATTAGAATATTGTTCCACAAGAATACTGTTCGATAACAATGTAAAATATCTTTGCTTGTGTGAAAGTTGCTTTAAGTGACAATCATGGAAAGATCGTATAGAAATAATATAATTATCAAATATAACATGATTATCGATATAATTATCAATTTCTGTACTAGCATCGTTCTATATTTCTATGATATAGGGAAATAATCTTCACGTTGTATACTATATCCGTGCAAAATGTAATGGAAAAATGACAGGCAACGAGGTATATAATCGAATCATCGATTCAGATCTCTGACTATATTCAATTTTCAATCACACAATACATAGATAGGTATTTTCAATCTTGGAGAAGACGTTTCGATTCGAATTAACTCCCGATCCGTAACCAGAGACGTATAGAAACTCGTTCATCCGAAGGCATTATATCGTGTCCGTTCCCTTTCGCTGTGTATTTATTCGTTGTTCGCATGCACGTGTATACGATATCTAGTTAAACCGTTGATCGAACCGGCGATCAAGTTTGCAGGGGAAACCGAATTTCTCTGGACGATCGGCCGCAAACTGGAAGCCACGTTTCCTCCAAAAGAAAAAATATCGTCCATTAACCGAGGACCATTTGGCATCTATAGTCGAAAATACAATAGCGATAAAATTGAAGAATTTCTTTTTTTTTTTTTTTTTTTTTTTTTCGTTTTTTCGCTCGAAACATTTGTTTTTTCGATCGATGAATTTTTCTCCTCGTTTGTTCTCGCGTTTTATGGTTGCGGTGATTTTTTATTCGAAATCATTTCGTTCAAGGAATTTTTTTCTTCTTCCAATTTTCTCTAACCGAGCTTTATCGAATTGATCGCAGGTTGCCCGATACTCCTGCCATATTTCTCTTAATATTCGCTATATAAAAACGTTTTGGAAAATCTCCTTATCTCTAGCTAGTGAAAAATATAGCTACGAAAACATATACGTAAAATTATATTAGAGATTGAACGTTAAAATCTTCGATACGATATTTAAAACGAAAAGATCGGATATAAACGTAAAAATATATCCTACTTTTCATCTGAAGACGCGATAAATATTTTTCAATATGTACAATTACGACGTAAAAAAAAAAAAAAAAAATAACCATCCTGAAGATTCGTTGGAAAATTAAAAAATCCATTACAACGATAAAGAATGAAATTCTTGTTCGAATAATTCACATATACCAGTGTTGAAAAGTATCATATAACGAATTCGATACTCGTAATTCGACATTTTGTACCATTGAAAATAAATACGAGAGAAACAAATTAATGATATTTACACTTTGTACAAATATAAATAAATTTACGTATGAGAAGATTAAAAAATATCCCTTTTATAATTCCTTTACAGAAGAAAGACAAAAGGGATTACAACGCGTTATTAAATTTAACACCGGATACATTCTATCCCCGTCGTTTGAAAAACACCCACTTAAAAATAATACGTCATCGACGAATACGATTTTACGATCGTGAAAATATAAAATAAAGTTTCCTTTAGTTTCCAAGTCTTTGTACAGAATCGATATCGTTAAAAAAATGTTCACAAAGCAAGGAACATTTCTCTTGTCCTGCAAAAATTGTAATGCACGGCATGCAATGAATCCGCTATTAGCTTTATTCGGTGCACCCGCAGGAAATGAAAGCTGGCAACTATCAGAATCGAGATTTTTCGCAGTTCTAAAAATTTCACGTGCATCGAACGTTTAATTAATGCATGCCCGTTGTAAACGAATAATTCTCCTCTTTTTATCTCTCTTATTAATTAATTTATTCGAAAAATATTTACGAATATTTATTTCTAAATTTTATTCCATTGCGAAAAATCTTTAAGAGTTCAAATACTATAATGATCCTTTTCATCTCTATCGATCGTTACGTTTTTTTCTTAACGCATTTCTCAAGTTTTATTCAAGCCGTACAAAGCTACATTTTTTCGAATGTAAACATATTAAAATCACGTAAATAGATTTCGTAATATTTATTCTTATAAAAAGTTAGTTATCTTTGAGAAGGATATTTAATAAGAAATTTAAATCGAAAAGATAATTTTGGAATAATCTTAATCCTCGAATTCCTTTCTTTTGAATTTTTTTCTTTTTAGGATGTAATCTTATGCAGCGGATGTTCCTCCGCCCTCGACCTTTGTATAACAGCGTTAGCACGAAGGGAGCAAAATATCCTGATACCACGACCCGGTTTCTCCATCTATCGAACACTTGCGCAAGGTCTTGGTATCAACGTAAAATCTTACGACTTACGCGTAAGTATAACCTTATTCCGAAAATTTTTACACCAATATTTTCAACTTTGAATCGTCGATATCGGTGATAAATTTTCATATGAAATTGAATTTTTTTTATTTCTATCTTATTTCGTCGAGTTTTCTTTTTAATATACGTCACAATATGCAAAAAAAAAAAAAAATTTACTTTCACAATATTTTTCATCAATGAGCGTTGATGAAAAAAGAAGACGTAATAAGAAAAAGAATCGTAAACATGTTTATCGCGATCAACATAACGGGATAAATTAAACGGGATATTTGGCTCACGATTTCCAATGCGATTTTTCCAATCTGGCAAATATGCATTTTCGATTCGAAAAAGGGAGGGAAAAATGTTAAACCTCGTAGTAATAACGAGGCCTCTTCCGTCATTCCTTTGTCTCCTTTGCCGCGAGTTTTAATGCCCCCTCCCCTCTCGACCGGATAGCGCGGACTATTTTACCACAGAGAAGTAATTAAAACTGCGGTACCGTAATTCTCGTTGCCCTTACCGAACGGAAAGAGAGAGAGTAGAAAAGTTGACGCGGATTATATCGTAATGTCGCTACGCCTATCACACGTCTATCCGAAAAATTGACTCGCCACTCTACTCTCTCGAGAATCATTATCGAATGTCAAGGTTCACTAGCTATTAATTTTGGAACCTTTCGTGTTTCACTTTTAGTGGCTTTCGTGCGCTCGACTTTTAAATATTTTAATTAGAGGAAGCTGTGTCTCGATCTATCGATTCTCTCCCGATATTTTAATTTCTCTATGGTTCTTTTTTGTTATTCCGTATTTGCGCTCGAGCGGAACGAGCAATGGATGATTAGAAATATCGGTGGTTAAACTTTTTAAATTTTTTAACTTTGTTTTTAAACGAAAAACTTGTACTTGTACTCTTCTCTCTTTAAATATCACGGATAAAATACTTTTTTATCGAAGTACGATGCAAATTTTTCGAATTTAATACGCGACACGCTGAATTAATATTGCAAACGAGATTAAAATCAGCAGATTTATAACAATATATCGTGGAACGTATGCTAATAACTTGTATATTTTTTTTGATACAACATTGTCGAAAATCGAGTCGTGAATATCAAATCTTATCGCGTTGCACGATTCCTACCATTTTCTGTGTCTTATGTGCTCACACGTTATTGATCCAGCCACTATATACCGGGCGTCTCGAAAGTACTTGCTATTCGCATTGGAAAAAGTAACAATTTTCCGAATTGCGATGATGTAAAACGACGAAATAACATTTTGTTAGGTTGAACTACGCAATCAAAGATAGCGTCATAGGTATCGTTAACGCGTGCAAAAATATCGTGAAAAATGGGCCAAAAATGTATAGTTGCGATAAAATCGTTACCAGCCATAACCTGTTCAATAACTCGAGAAACCAATAAAAATGTGTTGTATAGAGACATCGTAAATCGCGTTACTTGCTTCAACGTTTAAAACAGATATCAGAAAACTATTTAAGATAATTAAAAGTTTGCGAGAAGGGGTTAGAAATTGCTTCGAATTAAGAGGAATTACATTTCGATGGGGTATCCTCGATAACAATCAATTTAATATTGTACGACCTAAATAAAGGGAATTGACTTTTATATTTTTCAACGTCAATTCTCTCGATTCGATCTATCTTCTATATTTACAGTAGCTTTTAAACCAACCTTTAAACGTAATTTAAGTTTTCATTCGATTTCACGTTTCATGCATTCCGAATAATATCGAGAATAATTAAATTGTCGATAGATTTCTACGGTGATATTTTTGAAGCTACGACTACCAGTGTATTTCAAGTTTTTTTTTTTCATAACTACGTAGATATCGAAATAAAAAAAGATAAAGTCAAATATTACTCACAATAGTATGTAAAAACGTATTTATATTTTCGAGTGAAATATTCGCTCGATCAATTTTTCTAATCCTTTCTCCTTTATTCATTCCAATTGAGAATCATATTATTACTTTGTTGCTATTCTAACCTCGCTATCTATATCTTGCGTTAATGTCAATCAATTTTCAGCCCGAACTCGGTTGGGAAATCGATCTGGATGATTTGGAATCGCAGATCGACGAATCGACGGCGGCGATCGTTATAAATAATCCTTCGAATCCGTGCGGTTCAGTGTTTAGCAAGGATCACGCACTTGATATTCTCGACGTAGCCGCTCGTTACTACGTACCAATTATTGCCGATGAGATTTACGAGCACATGGTACGTGCTTCATACTTTCCCCCCGTATTTCGCAAATATTCCCCAATAAATAGTACATTTCTTTTGGTACATTTCCTTTTCGGTTTCAGGTGTTCCCGGGACAAACTTTCCATTCGTTAGCGTCGTTGTCGAGAGAAGTTCCGATTTTGTCGTGCAGCGGTTTGACAAAAAGGTATCGACTTTGAAATTTTTGATCCCATCTCAGTGATGAGAACCTCGCCTCGATCTATACGTTACACGTATATTCCGTAATTGCACGAGCATCAATGTTACGGTGAATTCTTGATACCCTCCCCTTGATGAGATATTTAACGATATCACGATCATAAATTAGATACAGATGATAATTTAGCTTCAAAATTTGGTGGTAAATTTAATAGAAATCATAATATAAAATGCAATAACACGTCACTTTCCCATTGTTCAGTTTGAATAATGCAATTTCGAGGATAATGCACTAACGATCTAATAATCGAATTACGATAATGGACGCATTAACAGGTAATCTTGAACGATATTTCAGATTTTTAGTGCCCGGTTGGCGTATGGGCTGGATAATCATTCACGATCGTCAAAACGTTCTGGAGAAAGAGGTGGGTAATTGCACGATATACACGGCACAGCTTGAAAATAATTGCTTCTCCGTTCCGTATTGTTTCCGTAACAAGAACGAGACCAGATCCGTTTCTGCGTTCTACCTCTCCGCGATTGGATTAAATTTCGTTGATTAAATTTTATTCTATCGTTAAAGTTCTTCCTTCGCCATCGTTCCTTATATTCTTAACTTTAGTCGAGCTTTCATGTTGAAAAAAAAGAGAGGGGGGGGGGAGGGGAAAGAAAAGAAAAAGAGCAAAGAGGAAATCGAAAGAAGTGAACATGTCGATTAAAATAGAGAGATTCGAGGATAAGTTGAATCCTTCTTCGAGAAAATATTTCTCTTTGTACGAGAACTTACGATTATAATTATACTCGATATATGTAATATATATTTCCTTTTTTTATTAGATTAGGAAAGCGCTTCATTGCTTGAGTCAAAGAACTATCGGTAGCAATACGCTTGTTCAGGGTGCTCTGCCTGCTATTTTGAAGAACACGCCACAGGAATTTTACGATGATATTATGAGAACGTTATATGTAAGTTATTGTATTTTACCATTTTTTAAAAAATTTCAAAATTAACATACGATGAATTAAAATTGAACGAGTACATTGATTGTATCAAATTAACACGATAGAAAAAATTAATAATTAAAATTTCGATATCCGATTTCAGAATCATTCGAAATTGGCGTACGATTATGTGATTAAGATTCCTGGACTGAAACCAATAATGCCCAACGGTGCAATGTACATGATGGTAATTCTTGAATTTTATCTATCGATATTTCGTGATTTTTCGATATACGATTCGTGAAAAATATTCTAGATATATATATATAAAAAAAATTGCAAAAGTTATGAAGCAAAATACTTTTGCAAAGTCGAGTAAACGATACGTTTAATCGTAAATTGTTTACGATTTATCGTTAAACTGGATTGCAAGATGGGTTCGATCGAACTTGCATTCGTGTAAATATTTCGCGTAATTAGTCGAAAATCAGACGTGATTTAAACGTAAAGATAAACAGGAGATGTTAAAGGTGGTCGATCGCAATTTATCGACTATAAATTATTCTATCGATTCCCCAGGTTTACATAGATTTACCTTGTTTTCCGGAATTTAATTCCGACCTCGAATTCGTGCAGCGATTGCTAATGGAGGAGTCCGTGTTTTGTCTTCCTGGCCAGGTACGCCGAATAATTCGAGTACCCATTCAATTTGACGTTTTTGCCGATTACACGCACGCTTCTTTTCTTCCTTATTTTCACAGTGCTTCGATTATCCATCCTACATAAGACTGGTCATCACAGTTCCCATGGAAATATTGGAGGAAGCTTGTCAGAGAATTCAGGAATTTTGCGAGAGGCATCACTATAAAACAGCCAAAGATACGCAAATAAATAATTTAATTGCTACGTATTGAAGTGCAAATATTATTTTTTTGTGCTCTTTTTTTATTATTTATATTATAGAAAAAGCGATTTTGTTAGATAATCTATTTTATAATAAAATTGTTTTTGTAAAACACACGCGAATAAAATAATTCCGTATCCTATGAAATAAAAGCACGCGTGATTAACAACGATCAAAATCAGTAGTTTAAATCTGAAATTACGTGAATTAAATAAATGATAATTTTATAATGATATAATACAAAAAGTACAATTTAAATAGTCGATTTATACAGACTGACTGTTTAATAAGTAAAAATTAAAAGTTGAAAAAAATATCGGATTATATCTCGTTCGAAAATAAGCAAATTTAATCCGATATCTCATCAATCTGTATAAATGTCTCTCTATCCTACGTAGCATGAAATGTTCCATTACCTATATTTACGCACAATTTTATGACAGCATCCCTGACTTTTAACGTATATCAATATTTCATTAACTTGCATGTTATAATTACTAATTCTACACGCGTAACTTCGGATAAGCTTTGTACCAACGTTTATCTATACAAGCCGATGATCTAATTAATTTCCATTTCGCGCTTGTGCACGTTAAACTTTGCCTCGATAGTGTGTTGTTAAACACACGAATTCTGGTTAATTCCACGACAAAATGTTTCCGCTGCAAATACAATTGCCATGTTAAACAATCGTCCTGTCTTATCCATAATAATGGACAAGTTACATGAACTTGGTCACTCTCATATTTTTCTCCTATTTTTTTTATACGATGATACGTAAATTTACTTATATAAAAAAAAAAATTGAGATTTTATTTTTATTAATTAATTTTTATCGAACAAGTTTTCTTATATAATCTTTATATAACGAGAAAGTGATTATAAATTTCAATTTTCATTTAGCATGTTGAATAGCATTTGGATTTTTATTAAACTTCTCGTTATATGAACTTATGGAACACACGTTGAAATTTTTGAATCCCGGTTAGAAATTATTCTGCATATCATCTGTAAAACTAACTTAGAAAATATAGGAATCTTTCCTGCATTTCGTATTTCATGATAGTACAAATTATTTTCATTGAAAATTTTATTGCATACATGGAACATTAACGAGCACAACGGAATTGATATAAATTAATCTCAATTTTTAAATTAATCCTTGTTCCTGATTTGTGAATAAATAAAATGAGAGTAAAAAATGAGGTATTTTATTTTCGAAATACAATTGCTTTGTGTACACTATATATTCCCTATTCATATAGATACTTGAAATTTAAACTTTTTCCTATAAAACACAAATTGTCATCATGGCGTCCATATTAAAAATTTTTTTTCGTTTAAACTAATCTTAGCAATCGGTTATTTATTTGTGCATAAAAAAATCAAATCTTTAAGATAAATTTATAGAACGTAAAAAATTAAACTGTAATCGTATCAAAAAAAAACAATAATCTAGATCAAATTCTATTTTAAAAGTTCGTAATAAAAACTAATTTTAATAAGAATTAATTTTAATGGTGTAATATACGAATACGAAAAAAGAATAAATTTTCCTTAAAGAATTACCGATAAATAATCAAACAAATGCATATCAATAAAAATACCATAAAGAGAAGTAATAGAATAATTTTTGTCAAATAAATATTAATTAGCAATAGATTATTCACACCTATTATTATGAAGTGAAGCGTCCGTTACGAATTTCGACAGAATGACACGTAGCGATTTCGATGTATCGAATTACGAATTGGAGAGGGGATATGCTCAACAATTCAACAAGTCGGAATATGTCGAACGTGGCACGTAAACACGAATTCCCTGAATTGTATTATAAGAAGTATTGTTTTCAGCCTTGAGGCTTCGAGCGTAAAATGAAAACAAATGCGAGAGACAACAAACGAATCGAACGTATAAGATAGATACATTTAGGAAAAAGAAACTACGTATAAGATAAGTATAATAAGTATGAAATATATATTATATGTGAATTAATTGTAACGTTTTTTTATTTTTGTGCCAATAAAAAAGTAATTTGCAATAACTATTTTAAAGTTTCTGTTAAAATAAATAAAATCTTACCATATTTGCGTGAAAGTCGTCGGATTATCTTTTTTACGATGTATGTAGAAACGATTACATTTTCAAAGCCATTTCATCTTCGAAGCTCGAATCAAACAATAATTTGCACAAAGATGTTCAATTCGGATATAATAATGATTAAACGAACACGTATTACTTAAAAAAAAGATTTAATAATCGTATAATATTCGTATTAATATAATATTCTATCAAAAATTTTACATAATACACTTTTACCGGTGAAACACAACCTGTCACTATGATTCTCAACTGTAGACTGACGCCATGCGCAATATGCTGCGCACTGATTCGTTTTACTGCTGGGCCTTAGCGTCTTTCTGATTGGCCGGAGCAGTTTTCTATTCGTTTCATTCGCGCGAAAATTGAAATATAATATATTATATGTAAATTTCTATATATCAAAATCTTAAACATGCTGATTAAAAATATAATGAGAATAGATTATTATAATTACTTTAATGTAAAAATTATCTAAATTAAAGACTGAAATATAAAGTTGATTATTTAAAATAATAAAAATTAATCGAATCTAAAAAGAATATAATATGAAATAAAAATTAATATATATATATATATATATATATATATATATATAATAATT